TCTGATGCTGCTTGGCCTGCTGTGTTCATCCAGCTCTACACCTTGTTATCTTTGTCATTAGAAAAATATCTTTAGTGGAGCATTTGAGCTACAGGTCATCCCAATGGAAGTTGACACCCCTACCTATCTGATTGAGCTTGGGGAACACCACTTCAGCGTAGGCAATCGCAGATCCTCACCTGACGGCATAAACTGAGCAGAGGAACCCAGATCAGCCCATAGCAAAACCCCGACACAAAGCTGAGCCTCAGCCAAATGGCTAAAATGTTCTTCAGGATCCAGTCTGGCAAGCCATTGTAGTTGCTGCTGGCATGCGGACTCGAGACAGCAAAGGAGTCCTACGAGATCAGACTTGGGTAAGAGAACTTACAGACTGGTATCCAGGAGAGTCCACACCCTGGAAATCCACCTACACAAGGTTGGGAAGAGTTAAATTGCTTAGCAACATTCAGATCAGAACCAATTAAAATAAATGGTTGGTTAAGTGGTCACCCGATTCTCATGGAGGTCAACACCAGCACAACTGTATGAGTGGTTGCAGAACCAGCCTTTAACAAGATTCGCTCTGCACCCCAACCCTTAAGTTTGCACTAGACCTTAGCCAGACTGAGAATATACACCAGGTAACCGTTACAGATTAAGGGTACATTTTCAATTCCGGTCTCCAATGAGAAGCACTGATTGTGGTAAAAGGCTCAGGCCCAAGCTTGATGGGACAAAATTGGTTAAGAAAGGTTCACCTTGATTAGAAAATGGCTGCTTGAATGAAGTCCTTATTAAATACTCAGCAGTTTTTCAGGAAGGTCTAGGGACTATCAAAGGAGGCAAGGCCACCTTGCATGTTGACCAGCAAGCAATTCCGTGATTCTGCAAGGACTACCCAGTGTCATTTGCCTTATGGGCAAAACTAGAGGCAGAGATCAGGGAGCTGGAAAGCGAAGGAATCATCAAACTCGTGCATTTTGCGGAATGGGCAACCCCGGTTGTACCAGTTGTGAAGCCTCAAGACTCCATTTTCCTTTGTGGGGATTTTAAGCAAACAGAAGTGGATTTTCTGATGAAGGGTCTAGGCCCGAAACGTCAGCCTTCCTGCTCCTGTGATGCTGCTTGGCCTGCTGTGTTCATCCAGCTCTACACCTTGTTATCTCAGAAAACAGCTTCTCACAGCTGGATAAACACCCAATCCCTCACATAGAGGACCGGTGCACAAAACTGGCAGGGTGGCTGTCCTTCACGAAATCGGGCATGAGCTATGCATACCTACATTTGTGACTAGTTGAGGGGTCCCAGAAGTATGCCACAATTAATACCCATAAGGGGGGTTTGTACCAATATACAAGACTGCCATTTTGGGGTATCATCAGCCTGCATCTTTCTCCAGCAGACGATGGAGAGTATTTTACAAGGTCTCACTCCAGGCTGCCATTTATCTGGAGACGTGCTAATAACAGGGAAGATCAATAAAGACCACTTGGAGAACTTGGACGTAGTGTTTAAACATTTCACCCAGATGGGAGTGTGCCTTAGAAGGGAAGAATGTGTGTTTCAGGCACCCCAGGTGAACTACTTGGGCTACAGAGACCAGGTTACACCTATTGGAAGATAAAGTGAGGGAGATCAAGGGTGCTCCAGCCCCCATGTCTGTACAAGAGCTGAGGTCTTTCTTAGGGTTGATGAATTATTGCGGAAAATTCATACATAACCTGGCCTCCATCCTGGCAACCTTATGCCTACTACTGAGAAAAGGTCAGCCTTGGAAATGGTCACATAGCCTTAAGGAAGTGAAAAAGCAGATATCATCATCTAAGGTGTTGGCCCACTACTATCCCAAGCACGAGGTGGTGTTGACATGCAATGTCTACTGTATGGTATCGGGGTAATGTTGGCTCACTAATGGCTCATTGGAAAGGGGTACCTGAACACAACTACGTCCAGATAGAGAAGGAAGTTTTGGCTGTCATCTTTGGTCTGAGAAAGTTCCACCAATACTTTATGGACATAAATTTGTAACAGCAACAGACCACAAACCCCTGCTAGAGCTACTTAAAGAAGACAAGGCCTTGCCACTCATAGCTTTTGGTCAAATTCAGCAGTGGGCTCTTATTCTCAGTGTGTAAAAGTACAAGTTGGAGCACTGTCCGGGAGGCCAAGTGACAAATGCAGATGCCTTGAGCCACCTCCCACTGGCAGATACACCACCAGAGGTGCCTCTCTTAGAAGAGTTTGTTCTGGTTTTAAACTTTCTGGACACCTTTCTGGTCACCGCCAACAATACCTGTGGACAATGGATACAAAAAGATCCCGTCCTGGCAAAACTAAAACAGCTGGTGGTAATGGGGAAAACAAAAAGGCCAGCACAATCAGAATTGAAACTCTTCCTGATCAGGTGACACCAAATCACTGTAGAGGATAGCATGTTATTATGGGGAACAAGTGTGATTGTCCCAAGTAAAGGTCGCTGCAGATAATGCTGAACTCCACCAGGATCATCCAGGTGTTTCCAAAATGAAAATATTAGCAAGAAGTATGTCTGGTGGCGAGGATTGGATGCTGAATAGCTGCATTGGTGGGGCAGCACCCAGCGTGCCAACAAAGACAAAAAAATTACCAGCAGCAAAGTCCCCACATTCATGGGAATGGCTGGGTAAACCCTGGACTCAGTCACACATTGATTATGCTGATCCTTTTATGGGCTCAATATGCCTGATCATTGTGGATGCCCATTCAAAGTGGTTGGATGTGTACAGAGATCATTCACCAGACTCAGGATCATTTGCGATATACAGACTCCTGGAAATATTGATCAAGGACAGTGAGACATCGTTTACCAGCAGGGATTTTGAGTATTTCCTGAAGTTGAATGGCATTCGGCATGTTCGGACAGTTCCATACCATCCATCATCCAATGGTCTGGTGGGAAAAGCAGTCTAAACCTTGAAGACAGACTTAAAGAAAGTCCCTATAGTTTCACTTGACACTGAACTGTCCCAGTTTAATTACAGGACTACCCCTCAAGCAACTACAGGGATAGCTCCAGCAGAGTTGCTGATGGGGAGAAGACTCTGCGCCAGGTTAAACCTGATAGTCCCGGACCTGCGGCGCGGCAGGGGGTGAACTGGCAGCAGGAATGTTAATGTTGGTGAGAGAGATAGTTTACTTCAGAGGACGAGTTTGTTGTCGAAACCATGGAAATGGCCCTGCATGGGTAGGAGGTGAAGTTGATGCAAGGTCAGGTCCCGTGACAAACAAAGTTTGTGTAGATGAGGCGGTTCTGACCAAATATATGGATCACATGAAAGCTGCTACCTTGCAAACGGGACGGGAGCAAAACATACCTGCCCCTCAGAACAGCCAGAAAGGCTGTCAGAAATCATGGGTTCTCCCCTTCCATACAGCGTTGAAGGAATCTCAGAGTCTGAGATAGATGCAGCCTCAATGGTCATGAAAGACAGGCTACGATTTGGTACACAATGCTCCATGTCCAAATCAGAGATGGAGGAGGGACTAGGGACGAAAATGTCCCAGGAGAAGCCACAAGAGAAAGAACAGGCCTACATCACCGGACTTAGAGGGGAGGGATGTAGTGATTGGAACAAGGACCAGGGTGGATCTCATTGACTATGAGATTCTTGATTAGTGTTGTTAACCTGGACCAATCAGGGAGACGTGGCTTACAAATATAAATAGGAAATTCAGAGAGTCTCCTCATTCTAGGGAGTGGCTGTGAGCTGGCTAGTCACAGCACATGTACTGTGGACATATAAATAAAGGGTGACTTGGTGATGGGAAACCAGCCTCTGGTATCTACTCATCTTCTTGCTCAAATCAAGCAAACTACAAAATAAGATGCAATTCTACCAAGTGCAGCAGTGGCAGCAATGACAGGATAGCCCGAAAGCATCCAGGTCACATTTGTTGCTATAAGAGAGTATTGGGTATACAGATATGAATTGACACTCCAAGATGGCAGCTTGTACAAAGGAAATAAAGCTATTATCCCCAAGGACAAAAGAGATGTTGAAGCGCATGCTTGCAAACTACCAAGACATTGGATCATTCTAACGAAGGAAAGAGAAGTCCTGTAGTGGCCAAAGATTTCATCAGAAATGCAGTGCTTGTAACAACTACAAAGCTAAGCAAGCTAAAGAGCTGCTTATGACACATGATATCTTAGATTGACCATGGGTAAAATCTTCACTGTTGCAGGAACTGATGATCTTGTCACTGACTACTAATATTATGAGATAGACTAGCTATCATCAATGGTTATCAGTGAGATCACAAATTACCTGAGATCACACTTTAGTCCTGATGGCATTCCAGATATTGTGATGAGTGACATAAGCTGTCGGTGCATGAGTGAAAAATTCTGCCAGTTCAGTATTGGGAAATTAAACACCATACATCATCACCACACTATCCCCAGTCAACTGAAAAGGCTGAGATGGCAGTGTGAAGTGATTGGAGCCAGGTGGATTTCCTGGGATGTTTTCACCCCAGGCCCAGTTCCTTTGACTCAGACCTTACACTCGGGGGCACAAAATTATCCCAGGAGATCCACCTGGTTCCAATCACTACACAGTGGAAGTCTCCAAAGAGATCATTGGTAAATTGAGAAAATCCAGCACAAATTTGTACAATTAATGGAGCACAACTACCGTGAAGAATGTGTAGAAAATTGCCCAGTCCAAAGGCTGTTATACTGCTCACAAACTACTCTACCAATAGCACAAAAACTACTGAAGTCATAAGAAGTAACAAGTGTGAATGACAAACTCAAGGTGAAATGTCAGGAAGCCAATAATTTTCAGGGCTGAGTACTGGAGGCCCAATCAGAGTGCAAGTGTTCAACAGTTTGAACAAAAGTCAGTCTGTGGCAAATTAGACCCTGTGTAAAGCACTTGGCACCTGAAAATTAGGTAGTGAACATGAATAGCCAGATATATTGTCACAATCACAGATGTCTGAATATAACTAAAGAAGCTGTGCTTTCACTGCAGATAATAGAGCAGGAAGGAGGTATCTCACCACCTGCACAAAGTACAGAATTAGCATCAGCCTGAGATATCAATTGTTCTCCAGCAATGCAAATGTGTCAGCAACAGTTACCATGGCAACAGCATTCGCCACAGGAACAGCATTTCTCAGAGAAAGAGCATTACCACAGGAATGATCAGATACTAGAAAAACAGACAACAGAAATGTGTGGACATACCACAGTTTAAAGGCTATGTGTAGAATGTATATACAGAGGTTGATGTAAGTCAAACTGAATAAAGTGAAACCCTTTTTTGTTAATGAATAATAATTTTCTTTGTGACCCTATACATTGGGTAACTTGCAACTGCGACGATAGAGCAGGCAATCTTTTTATGAAAAGGGGGAGCTGTTTGGAGAAATAAAACTGCATCCTTAGCGTATTGCTGCCTTGTCACAGTCATGTGACCTCTAACACTGATTTAAATGTGTTTGCATGTAGTCTGTGGGAGTCGTTAAACACACACCACTTGAAACAAGGTAATTGGCAAACAAAATAATGTGACCTAAGGAAAACCTTTTTTAAGCAACAACTGCTTTGGATTTGGAACCTACTGCCTGAAAGTGTGGCAGAGGCAGATTCCATCATGGCTACATTGCAATCTACATATACAAAGACAAAACACCCTGTTCTTTGCAGGTGGAAAAAACATAAACAGACACTGCATTTTGACTCAACAGAAGGTGACAACATTGCTGATTCATTTCTCACCAGTGGGTAAGGAGCACAATCAATGTCAGTTGAGATATTGTTTGAATGGCACAAAGGCTGGGAATTTGGTTGAACAAACACTTCAACTTTTCTAAGTTCACTTTTAAAAGTCATACGCAGACAATAGACGACTGGAAAGTTAAAGTCGCCTAATTAAAAGAGACAGTGGCACAATCGTGTCTGTTGAGATAAGATCTGAGTGAATAAAGCTGGAAATTTGCTTCAAAGTGGGAATTCGATGCAGGTGTGTGTGGGGGTGCAGGTGTGCTTTAACTAAGGTTTACTGCAAGAAGTAAAATATCCAAAACAAGAGGTGAATGGGAGAGAAAGCAGAATTAACTTCTCGGGTCCAGTGACCCTTCTTCAGTGCTAGATTGTAACTAGGAAAAGATGGTCTACATGCTGAATGATAAACCAGGGAGTCAGAAAAGCTGATAATAGGGACAGTAAGTAGGTGAAAATGGGTATGCTGTGCTGAAAGCATTCCATGTCATGACAGGGCCGGGGGTGTATAAAAGACAGGGAAGAAGGTGTTCATGCCCTAAAATTATTGAAGCTGATATTGAATTCTGAAGGCAGAAGGGTTCCTTAGCAGAAAATGAGATACTGTTCTTCCAGCTTGTGCTGAGCCTTGCTGGAGCACTGCAGCAAGCCTGAGGCAGAGATGTTGGCCAGAGAACACAGTGGTGTGTTGAAGTGGCAGACAACCGGAAGCTCAGAGCCATTTTTGCAGATAGAACGTGGTGTTCCACAAAGCAATCGCCCAATCTGCATTTCATCTCCCCAATTTAGAAGAGACCACATTGTGAGCAGCGAATAGTAGACTAGATCGAGTGAAGTGCAGGCAAATCGCTGCTTCACCTGGAATGAATGTATGGATCCTTAGATAGTGAGGACGGAGGAAGTAAATGGGCAGGTGATACATGTTAACTGTCTTTCTCTCCCTTAGGGCTTCATCTCCACCCATCATTTACTCCATTACCTCCCCATCCTCTGTCTACAGCATATACACCACCTTTTCCTAGCTACTATCTACTTCTGAAGAAGGATCATTGGACATAAAATGATAACTCTGCTTTCTCTCCACAGATGCTGCCAAGACCTGCTGAGTTCTCCAGTAATTTCTGTTTTTGTTTCAGATTCCAGCATCTGCAATTCTTTGTTTTAATGACTTTGAATAATCTGTTGGCTGTGAAGCCCAATGCGATGTTTTGAGATGCTGCTAAATTATATACAAATGCAACTCCATTTTTCTTTAATGAAGCAGGATTCCAACAAGAATTAATGCTTTCAGGAGAGGAAATGACAAAGTATATTGAGTTTCCACTGTAGAGGTCCTGCCAGCAGAGGGCAAGCCTGTGTTGCACACAAGGCTAGTGACACAAGGTAATCAAGTTTAGAACTTGCTGGAAGTTAAACTCAAAGGCAAATACTTCACTGAATGAAACAGGAAGGGTCACATGCTACGAGAACAAATAACTGATGTCCAAACTTTGTTTAACATATGTCCAAACTTTGTTCAAGTGCTCAGATTGCCTTGGCGTCCTGTAGGTGCGCAACCTTGTCAATGTTAATTAAGAATGTTCCAGGTCTGCAAAGCATTCTTAGCCATTAATTAACCAATCTGTAGTTGAAACTGCCCCTACTGGCTTTGGACCATTGTCAAATTCATCTGTATAGACCAGAAATTAAAAAAAAAAACTTGATTTTACATACCACCAGATTCAATGTTGTACCAAATAAAAAGAAAGTACTGTAGATGATGGAACTCTGAAATATAAAAACAGAAAATGCTGGAGAAACTCACCATTCTGTGGAGAGAGGAACTGTTTTAACATTTCAAGTCCAAAGACTTCTTCAGAACTGAACTCAAGTTCTGAAGAAGAGTCATATTGGTCTTAAAACCAAAGGACATTCACCAGGATGTTGCCTGGGATGGCACACATAAACTACGGAGAGAGGCTGGATTAGCTCTTTGGAGCAGTGAAGGTTGAGGTGAGTACCTGATAGCGGTGTATAAGATTACGAGAGGCATGGACAGGGTGTATAGAAAGCAGCTGTTCCCCTGAGTCGAAAAGACTAAGTTGAAAAGTTGCCTGCCACTTCGACACACCACTGTGTTCTCTGGCCACCATCTCTGTCTCAGACCTGCTGCAGTGCTCCAGTGAAGCTCAGCGGAAGCTGGAAGAACAGCACCTCATTTTCCATTTTGGAACCTTGTAGCCTTCCAGACTTAATATCGAGTTCAACAATTTTAGGGTTCGAGCACCTTTCCCCATGATTTTGCCCCATCCCTATACACCAGACCTTGGCTGCTACCACACCCTACCCATTGTCAGTCACTAATAGTTGCCATTAGCAGCTATTCATTCTCCCAGACTGACCTTTAACCACTCCCTTGTTTGTCCAACTGTCTTCCTGTCTCTTTGGGCTCTCTCTCCACTTTCGTTTATTTTCCCCCACCCCATCTTCTGTATAAAAATCTCTTTCCTAGCTATCATCAGTTCTAAATAAGGGTCACTGGACCCAAAATGTTAACACTGATTTCTCTCCACAGATGTTGTCAGACCTGTTGAGATTTTCCAGCAATTTCTGTTTTTCGTCTCTTAGTTGAAAGCTCAATGATTAGGGGGTATAATTTTAAAGCGAAAGAGGGGACTTGAGGAAAACCTATTTCACCCAAAGGGTGGTGAGAATCTGGAATGAATGCCCGGGAGGGTACTTGAGACAGGTAACAACTTTTAAAAAGCACTTGGATGAGCACTTCAAATGTCAAAACATTCACGGCTATGGGTCTAGGGTTGGAAGGTGGGACTGATGTATATTTAAAGCAGTTTTGGTGGTACAGACTCTATGGTCCAAAGGACTATAACGTATGATTCTGTTATTTGATGATTCATTCTCAGTTTTTATTTTATATTATATCAAAATGCTTCACAAAGTATTTTTGAATTGCACTTGCCATTATAAAGTAGGATATGTGGCAACCAACATGCACATATCAGGCTCCCGCAAATAGCAATGTGGTAACGGTCAGATAATCGTTGAGAATGATGTTGGTGGATGGATAAATATTGGGCACCATGGGTAAGTCCCAAGCTCCTCTTCTAAACAGTGCCATCTACCTGAGAGGGCAAATGGGACCTTAGTTGAATATCTCAACCTCGAGACATTATATCCAGCAAGTGCCAAAAAAAAATCAATGGTCCTACAGAGTCAAGGTGGCCCAAAAAGTAGAAAGGTTACTGTTAGCAATTCATTTTGTTCTTTTTCCAGACGTATTTTTGGAACTTAGATCCTCTAGCTGCTCCTTTCTCCAATCTCATTTCCAACAGGCAATACATTCCTGGACACTGGATCTGGAGCCTGTGTTTGAAAGATGGTTGGACATCCAGACAGAAAGGTGGAAGCAGAGTATACCTGAACTTGAGACCAAGTCAACTAAATGCACAACCACCAAAGGTGGAATAAATTAGGGGATATTCAAGATAGCCAGAATAAATGGAGTGCAGATATCATTGAATCCCTACAGTGTGGAAAGAGGCCATTCAGCCCATCAAGTCTGCACTGGCCGTCTGAAGAGCATCTCAGCCTATTGCTCTCTTTTACCTTGGCTAATCTATCTAACCTGCACATTCCTGGACACTACAGGGCAATTTAGCATGGCCAATCCACCTAACCTGCACATCTTTAGATTGTGGGAGGAAACAAGAGCACCCAGCAGAAACCCACATAGATACAGAGACAACATGCAAACTCCACAGAGACAGTCACTGAATGTTGGAATTGAACCCAAGTCCCCGGTCCTGTGAGGCAGCAGCACTAACCATTGTGCCGTCCGTCAGATTTGTAGGGATTGAGTAGTGTATAGTGAAGGACAGGAGTGAGGCTATAGATGGATTGCATTTCAAGGATGAGAATTTTAAAATCATGATCTTGCTTGTCAGGGTAGTCTCTGTACATCAGTGAGCCAAAGAATGATATGATAATGGGACTTGTTGTGGCTCTGAGCATGAGAGTAGCAGAGTTTTGAATGACATCAAACTTACAGAAGGTAGAATGTGGGAGGATCAGCTGGATTGCACTGGAATAGTAAAATCTTGAATCCACAAAGAGAAGGATGTTACAGACGTAGAAGTAGGCAGTTTTCATTGGTGAGGTGATAAGAAGGGGACAAACGTAAGGTTGAATTGGGAAAGACTGAAGATAGCTGTACCACAGAGGGATTTGGGACTCCTTGTGCATGACTCACATACGTTAGTATCTAAGTTCAGTGGGTAATAGCGAAGTCAAATAGAACGTTAGCTGTTATTTTCAAGGACTGGAGTAAAAAAAGTAGGAAGCTGTTGCTTAAAATCTACAAGGTACTAGTCAGACCACATTTGGAACACTGTGAACAGCGTTAGTCCCATTATCTAAGGAAACATAAATGCATTGGAGGAAGTCTAGAAAAGTGCATTAGTTTGCTCCTATATATAGAGGGACTTTCTTAGGGAGAGATGTTGAGCACTCATTGTACTTATTGGAATTTAGAAGAATGTGAGGAGAT